AACATGAAGAAGACTATTCGTAGTCTAAAGAGCATCTATGAACGAAGTGCCGACCTGAAAGTACGAGGAGGCCGACCAGGGACGACGCATGGGTTTCAAGGGGGATTAAAACATTCCCACTTGGGAGGTCATCATTGGACGATGGTGTAGGTAATCATGGCCTAGACCCCTACCAGCCAGCATGAGTCAGCAGGGCCATACAGCATTAAATGCACCCCATGCTGGCATTTAATGCTCGGCAGGCAATGATTGGAGAAACCTCAAATCGCATTAAATGCCCGTCAGACAAACGCCGAACTGCTCTGCCAAATTACTGTGCGACAAGACCAGCGAACAGTAGCTGAACAGTGCCTCATTAAAGACAGCTATAAATAGCAGCTCACTTCATTTATTTTGGGGTTGTTGAATTCCAACGAACTCTTGCCTTCTCTCTATTTTCTCTCTCGAAAAAACTGTAAGAAACTCACTGAAAGATTGTAAGTATATCGCAAGTGCCGACCTCGTACGAGAGGCCGACCTCGTGATCGTCTAATAAAATCGCAATTAAACCGGATTATTCTCCGCATTTTTCAGTCTTGCTTTCTATATCTTTTATTTTTAACCGTTGACCGAAAACGCTCGTCAACAGGCTTAATGTACCAAGAAATGTCCAACGTGAAAGCTTCCTTAATAATTTGATTTCTTCCACTTAACACTCAAACTACTTTCTCACATATCTCAAAATAATCAACCTGGTATTTGGCCGTTGGCAGCCCGCTAATCAGGGTCGATGAAAGCTTTTGACCGTTGGAGATCCAACTATCAGCCTTTTTTATTTATTTTTTTTAAATTCGATTCCAAAAAATTCTAAAATTGTATGCTTGGTTTTTAATAATGTAATTATGTACCTGGTTTGTATATTCGTAGATCCAGTCTCTTCATGTATCGAAATTAAAAAAAAAAAAAGTATCAAATGAGCCAATAGATGTGTTAAGCCATTGTTTCAAGGAGGCGTGCACGCATTCCACTCTACAAGTTGTTGTGTTCCTAAAGTGTTGTACTTGGTTTGTCCAGAGACGAACAAACTTCTCCTTGTGTTGATCTAACTATGTGGACTCAAGATAATGCAAATTTTTTGGATGAGGACGCAATTTTTCTCTCATGTCCGCGAAGGCTTTTTCGTACTTCTCCACGGTGTCGGCTTGTCATACTAGTCTCCATGTGCCACTTTTAAAACACGCGGCGTAATTTCGACTATTTACTTTTTTATTACCACCTAATTTTCTGTATACTTAATTTTCCACATCCTTGTTGATGTGGAAAGTACAAAGCAAGTGGGGAGTCTGGGGGAATTGTTCCTTAATGGGAGCATCAACCCCATCTCTCTGTCAGTCAAAATGATTGTGGTCTCATCATCATTCCCAATCAAAATTCGTAAGTTCTTCAACACCCATCGATAACTATTAGCCGACTCATCCTTCATAAGTGCATATGCAATCAAAAAAAAAAAAAAATATTATTACAAGGAGTCATGCCAATAATTTGGAACAAAGGCATCTCGTACTTGTTTATCTTGTACGTGGAGTTCATGCCAATAACCCAAGGGTATGCTCTAAGTGTCTTTTTCGACTCTGGTTGGACCAAGAACACATGAGTTAATTTCTTTGTATCATCATGATCTTTAATTGATTGAATATCATATTCGTTGTCCTTAGACAACTTGTAAAACTGTTGTATCATACTCCTTTTCCCAAATGAGGCCCTTTGGAGCTTTGCCTTATAGTTGTAAGTTTTTCTGACGTGACAGTTGTCCTATGGAATTGATTGTTCAACAGCCAACAATATGTTTTGCGCCTTAGTTTGAGAAAGAACCATCGATCAAATAAGTTTTTTTTTGCTCCAACACTAAGACAACTCATTTGTCGATGTCCCTCTGCATATTCGGCGGGCTCATGATTGTGTCTACGCTCATCACATTTCATAATCCAATTATGGAACTCCAAATTTGGATTCAAGTTTTTCAATATTACCGTGACCTCATAACGACAAACAATGGTCTTTGTGTTCTTTCTCTGTCTTGGCTTTGGAGTCCCTTCATCTTTTGGTTTCTTTCTGTTGGCCTACATCTAAGCCTCACACTGGTTGGTAAATTCTTTAATGTTATTTTCAGCTCATACCCTGAGTATATGGCAAGAAAGTAGCAATAATGCAGAGTTTCACTATAACTCTCATGTATTTGTTCCTCTTCAAAATAATCCGTAAAATCTTCAAATTCATCATGTAAATAGTTAAATTACACAATTTTATTACCACATTACATAAAAAGTAACTATTAATAATAATAATAAATCATATAGGTGACAAACAAATAAAACTATAAAATTCAGTTGTAGAAAAAAACAAGCTTTTGGTTCAAATGTTTGACTGCATACAAGCTTTAGATTTAGACATTTTAGAGGCTTACAAGCTTTCAATATTTATGTTTCTTAAGTGTAGCCCCTTACAAACTGGACGTTTGAACTGCATGTAAGTTTTAGATTTAGAAGTTTCAGAGGCTTCCAAGCTTTGAGTATTTAAGTTTTTTAAGTGTTGCCCCCATAGGCGGAGCTAGATGGGGCCCAGGGGGGCCCGTGGGCCCCCCTTAAATTCTTAAAAAAAAATCAATATGTATATATATAGATACTATAAAATGTATAGAAATGTACAAAAAAATTGTAATATATTAAGAATTAAAACTTATTAAAAATCAAAATATGTATATAAAAAAATATTATAAAATATGTATAGAAATGTAAAAAATATTTACAATATACTAATAATTAAAACTTATTTTCTATGTTGTTTTTATTTAAATTAGTAATATAATTTATTTATCGAACAATTTACTAACAATTTATATTTTAAATTTATAGATAAGCTTTTGAAAATATTTATAATGATTTACTCTTTTGGTCTCTTAATTATAAATCGATTTAGTTATTTACAAAACAAAGTATTTAGTTGGATTGTTATATTTTTTAATTTTGACTTTTTACTCTTTTTTTTTTGTGTAATCACATATTTTTAAATTTATATATTTTTTTATTTAAAAATATTTATTTGATAAGCTCTCATTAACAAAGATGTTATGCAATATGGTACAAAAGTCCAATTTAAATCAAATTTTCGACCAAAAAAATTATTTTTTCATAAATTATATATGTTGAATTTAAATTATAAATACATGAAATCTCATTTATTTATAAGTTTGAGGGTAATACAAATTCTAAATTTTTAAAAACTTGATGTTACACGTATCTATATTTATATTTATAGTAAAGAAATGAGTGGTTCGACTTAAACTACAAATCGGTACTTAACATTAAAATCGGACCCCCTGAGTAAAATTTCTAGATCTGTCACTGGTTTCCCCTTACCAACTGTACGTTTTTCATCACAGTCGGGCTTTCAAGTTAGACATTTTGTGGGTCATGAAGCTTTTTTTTTTATTTTATAAACATCCCAGAGTGGGATGGGGGTTGAGGCTACACCCCCGACCTGTGAATATAATGGCCCAGAGAGGGCTAAAAAAATTCATGGTCTACATAAAAATCGAAAATACATAGGGCAACATCAAAAACAGAAAAATAAAAAGTGCAAGGATCACAAAAATATCCGATGTGGATCTAAAATCAAATCCTCATAAAAGGTCGTCCTGGTCAGAGTGACCTGGCATGGGGTCGAAAACGTCAAATCTAGTCAGGGGCAGGTGGTGGCGGTCGACCGAATCTGAAAGATGGGTACTCTAGTTGGTCCGTCCGAAGCCGGAGGGGAATGTCCTCAGGAAGAAGGGTGCGTCTCTGGGGTATAGATGCCCCCGTGCTAGCAAAGAAATCAACGGGCCGATTCCCCTCCCAGAATATGTGTGAGACCTGGTAATAGATCGAGCGGAGGGTGTCTCTGATGCGCATAAGAGGATGTTGTATCTACCATGAGCCCTGGTGGCCAGATGTCAAAAGTGTGATGACAGCTGCAGCATCCATCTCTATCCAAATATGGGAGGAGATCGAGGCGGCAATCTCAAGACCAATCTGGAGCGCCTGAATCTCTGCATCATAACTCGAGGAGGCCCGGAGTGGCCCATAGAAGGCAGAGATGAGTGCCCCACCATGATCCCTAATCAGGCCCCCTCCTCAAGCAGCTCCGGTATGTCTGTCGAAAGCGCCATCAGTGTTTAGCTTAACCCAGGGGGCCTTGGTTTTCAGCCAAACAACAGTCCTTGGTCGTGGATGCTGGACATATAAAGGAGGTGGTGGCCTCAAACGATGGGGCAGTGTACACCCTGTCCAGTCTCTCGTCGTAAGTCTACCCAGGGCGGTGAGGAGAGAGAGGTGTCTGTCAACCTGCAAAATAATGTGAGCACAAGAAAATATAATATCCTTATGCTTCGCATTATTCCTTTCTGTTCAGGTGGCTCATAAGATCAGACAAGGAATAAGGAAGCCCACGTGTCTACCCTTATGTAACTTTAGCTATCAAACGTTTAGTTCACGTTCTAGCTTTTACCTGGGACGTTTACTAACAAACTTAAACCCTTAACATACCCTACATCTATTATCACTTTATTCATTCTTCTATAGTACTCAACCATCATATTGGTTCAATGCAACATATATGAAAAAGGTTTTAATGATCTAAGTCCTAAAATAACTTAAAGCACTCAAAAAACAAGAGATCCATTTGTGAGTTAAGATCGTTGTAAAAAAAATAAGGATTAACACAATTTACCTCGTTTGCATGTGTTCCCGATGATGTCAGATTACTATACATATGATTAATGAAGAATAACAATACTGCTGCACCCCCGTCTATTTTTCCCGCATGAAGTTACTCCATGACGTGTCAATCCCCGCATGAAGTTACCAATAATGTAGAGATTAGTGAGTTAATTTTTAATTAAAAGGAAAAAGGAGATTGATGAAAATGTGGATTTTGGTAAAAGTGAAGAAGGGGATTGGTGAAGGTGTGGATTTTGGTAAAGTGGGTCAAAGTAACTTAGAGGCAACAACTAGCAATTTGGATAAAAATAGTAATTTGGGTAAAAGTAAGCAAAATATTTTTATTGGGACAAAAATGTAATTTCAATTATTATTAAATTACTTTTTGGGCAACAAGTAGTAATTTGGGGCGACAAATAAAAACACCCAATATTTAGAGGGTGCAAATGATATTTATGAGAAATAGTTATTTTGACCGGCTTTAAAGATGGAATAAGTTTTACACACCACCAAATAATAAGCTAGTTTTTTCACCCTATAAAAACTACGCGACAGACAAGCGAAAATAATTTCTAAAGTGCGAAGTAAATATGCGACAGGCTATGCAAATTAAAGACGAAGATAATAATAAAGTACGAAACAATTACGCATTTACTAAGCAACAAACATGCGAACTTAATTGATAAAGTACGAAATAATTATGCGAGAAACTATGCGACACGCCGAAGATAATTGATAATGTGTGAAACAGTTATGTGATAGAGTATGCAACCACAGATGAAGATAGTGATAAAGTGCAAAATAATTAGGTGATATACTATGCAAAAAACATACGACGATAATTGATAAAGTGTGAAATATTTATGCGATAAACAGGAAAAATTCATAACTACTCTTCTAACAAGAAAACATTCGACTACAATTACACTCTTCCTAGTATTCCAAAATTCCACAATTGATACCAAACATTAAACCAAAAAAT